CCCTCCATCTTGAACAGCCACATCATCAACCTGGAGTACAGGCTGAAGGTAAACAACTTGTAGAGCTGTCCTTTTGTTTGTGTACTTGAGTACTGTTTAAGTAATATAACTAATGGTAGGAAGCTTGTCTTTGTTTCTGTATATGCCATTTAAAAGGTTTTATTTGGGCTGCTAGTTGGTTAGTGGCGCCTCTTTTCTGTCACAGGTGACTGTAACAAATCATTTTTATGGAAAACTGTTAAACTGCTTTTCTCCTTCCTCAATTTAACGTTCACAAAAGGAAATAAAATAAAGGATGTAAGTACTCAGAGGAACTAATGGAAGAAAACAAAGATTGAGAAGCTTGGATTAAAGCGTGAGGGCCCTCTAGTGACAAAACATGGCAACAACAAAGCCCTGCTGAAATCAATAATTCCTGAACAAAAAAATCTTAAACAATTCTGTTTGTGTGTTATTTTGTTTGCACAGGTCCAACTGAATATCAAATGTTCTATTGATCCAAAGCTCAAACTTCCTATAGTTATCATGCCTGCGGTGGTGAAACAACCACACCCTTCTGCTGGCATTGGATTTGACACTTTTAGGAACCCAGAAAAAACATCCTGGGGAACTACACCCCAGCAAACACCACCCCAGCAAACACCACCCCAACTTGCAGATCTTCCACCTCACTACGGAGCACATGCGATGTACCCCACTACCACTCTTGATGATTATAAGACTGCACTTTGAAAATCTCCCTTGAGAGAGAACATTTAAGCCTTAAACACAGACTTGACACAAATGATTGAATACATTCAGAAAAGCAGACTGGTGTGCTGTTAAAGCTACCAAGCACCTATTGTTTGTTCCTTCATACCCCAAACTGTGAAGATGACATCAATTGAGGCAATAAATCAGAAAATGCTGGTTTTCATATTAGCAGTTGTTATCTTCTAACTCCTAACAGATTTTAATTTACTTTCCTATTTAAACTGTAAGATTGTATACATTTAATATCTGTGTAAATAATATATTTACAAGAGTTTGTCAGATTCGTATTGTTGATTGTCATTTATGCTTAGAAATATCTACTCATATATGCTTAGAGTTTTATAATCAATGTCATGTTGGTAGAGGTTTGATCCTTAGTAGTCTGTGGAGACTCTGTGTGCCTCCCAGAGCACTCTGTAGCACAAAGAACTTTGCCTACTTGTGTCTTGCTTTTGCTGTGTAGTAAATTGTCTTGAACGTTCCAGCGAATAGGTTTAAGCTGTGTTACTATATTTTTCTAATAAAACATCATATTTGAAATGCAAAACTAACATCTTGTGTTTGTGGCTGGTGATTCCAGTTTAATGTGAACCCTTATATTCTACTCATCATATGACACATCCTAATGTAATGCTTCTTCTAAAACCTTAGAGTCCATTTGGGCAATTTGGACACGACAACCATTAACTGATGTATAAAAGTATGTGCTCCAAGGTTCACGTTGGGGCCTATGGGGTCAGGAGTAAATTTGATATAGTCACTGTCTTTGGCAAATAAATTCAATTTAACACCATTTACCATTTACTGTTTGTACAGAAAGCACAGTTTCTTTGCAAGAAGAGAAGGGTCCATACTAAAGACCTCTTGAAAGAGGTGGGAGACGCCATCCCTCCATCTGCAGAAGAAACTGTCACAAGGGTCATCACCATTCCCTGTGATGTGGAGCCCTCAATCTTCAACTGCAACATCATCAAAGCTGAGCACAGACTCAGGGTAAGCAGCTTGAAAAATGTTTGCTAGAAACTGCAGTGAGTCTTAAAACTGTATTAGTTGGTTATTCCACCTTACTGTCCAAAATTATTGACTAGGGCTGGGTATCGTCACTGATTTCTAGAATCTATTCGATTCCAATTCACAAGGTCGTGATTCGATTCAATCCACAATTCGATCGATTCAGCATGAATCGGGGAAATTTTGCCTCAGACAGTCAGAAATATTATAATTCTGATCATTTATCAGTACATATCCATATCTTTATATCTATAAAAAGAAATCTGACACTTGTGAAACTTTATCAGAGGTGCAAGCAACAGTAGACTTGTGCGTAAGCGAACGAATAATGCAGAAAACAAACCTTTTTATCGTCCATCCATCCATCCATCCATCCATTTTCTTCCGCTTATCCAGGGCCGGGTCGTGGGGGCAGCAGCCCAAGTAGAGAAGCCCAGACCTACCTCTCCCCCAGCCACCTCCTCCAGTTTATCTGGGGGAAGACCAAGGCGTTCCCAGGCCAGCCGAGAGATATAATCTCTCCAGTGTGTCCTGGGTCTGCCCCGGGGCCTCCTCCCGGTGGGACATGCCCGGAACACCTCGTGCAGGAGGCGCCCAGGGGGCATCCTTGTCATATGCCCGAACCACCTCAACTGGCTCCTTTCGATGTGGAGCAGCAGCTGCTCTACTCTGAGCCCCTCCCGAATGGCCGAACTTCTCACCCTATCTCTAAGGGAGAGGCCAGCCACCCTTCGGAGGAAGCCCATTTCTACCGCTTGTATTCGCAATCTCGTTCTTTCAGTCACTACCCACAGCTCGTGGCCATAGGTGAGGGTAGGGGCGTAGATCGACCAGTAAATTGAGAGCTTTGCTTTTACACTCAGCTCTCTCTTCACCACAACAGACCGGTACAGCGTCCGCATCACTGCAGCTGCTGCACAAATCGTCTGTCGATCTCCCGCTCCCTTCTCCCATCACTCGTGAACAAGACCCCGAGATACTTAACCTCCACTTGGGGCAGGGTCTCGTCCCTGACCCGGAGTGGGCACTCCACCCTTTCCCGGCTGAGGACCATGGTCTCAGATTTGGAGGTGCTGATTCTCATTCCCACCGCTTCACACTCGGCTGCGAACCATTCCAGGGTGAGCTGGAGGCCATCACCTGATGAAGCCAACAGGACCACATCATCTGCAAAAAGCAGAGATGAGATCCTTTGACCACCGAAGTGAAAGCCTTCCGCCACTTAGCTACGCCTAGAAATTTTGTCCATAAAAATTATGAACAGAGTCAGTGACAAAGGGCAGCCCTGGCGGAGCCCATCACCCACCAGGAACAAGTCTGACTTATTGCCGGCTATGCGGTCCAAGCTCTTGCAACGGTCGTATAAGGACTGAATGGCCCTTAGCAATGGGCCAGACACCCCATACTCCCGGAGCACCCTCCACAGGACCCTTCGAGGGACACGGTGGAATGCCTTCTACAAGTCCACAAAACACATGTAGACTGGTTGGGCAAACTCCCATGTGCCCTCGAGTATCCTTGAGAGGATAAAGAGCTAGTCCAGTGTTCCACGACCAGGACGGAAACCGCATTGTTCCTCCTGTATCCGAGGTTTGACTAACAGACGGACTCTCCTCTTGAGCACCCTGCAATAGACTTTCCCAGGGAGGCTGAGGAGTGTGATTCCCCTGTAGTTGGAACACACCCTCCAGTCCCCTTTCTTAAAGATGGGGACCACCATCCCGGTCTGCCAGTCCAGGGGTACTGCCCCTGATCTCCACGCAACATTGCAGAGACGTGTCAACCAAGACAACCCTACAACATCCAGAGCCTTCAGGAACTCGGGGCAGAGCTCATCCACCCCAGGGGCTCTGCCACCAAGGAGTTGTTTAACTGCCTCAGTGACCTCGCCCCCAGAGATTGGCGGGTCATCCCCTTCATCCCCAGACTCTGCTTCCGCCACGGAAGACGTGCCAGTGGGATTGAGGAGGTCCTCAAAGTATTCCTTCGACCGCCGGACAATTTTCTCAGCACTCCACCCGCACTATACACAGAGCAGGTATAGCATCGCTTTCCCCTCCTGAGTCGCCTGACGGTTTGCCAAGATCTCTTTGAGGCAGTCCGAAAGTCTTTTTCCATGGTCTCTCCGAACTCCTCTCACACCCGAGTTTTTGCTTCTGCCACCACCCGTGCCGCATTCCGCTTGGCCTGTCGGTACCTATCAGCTGCCTCCGGAGTCCCACAGGCTAACCAAGCCCGGTAGGACTCCTTCTTCAGCTTGGTGGCTCCGCTTACCTCTGGTGTCCCCCATTTGGTTCGTGGATTACCACCATGACAGGCACCAACTACCTTGCGGCTGCAGCTCAGTGCAGCGGCTTCGGCAATGGAAGTGCTGAACAGGGTCCATTTGGACTTAATACAGTGGCTTGCAAAAGTATTCGCCCCCCCCTTGAACTTTCCCACACTTTCCCACTTTCTTCTTGCCACTCAGTGCATAACTAATAGTTGTCCTATGGTCAGATTCCCCCACCTGAGCTGTAGATCTCTGCAGCTCGTCCAGAGTCACCATGGGCCTCTTGGCTGCATTTCTGATCAGCGCTGTCCTTGTTCGGCTTGTGAGTTTAGGTGGACGGCCTTGTCTTGGTAGGTTTACAGTTGTGCCATACTCCTTCCATTTCTGAATGATCGCTTGAACAGTGCTCCGTGGGATGTTCAAGGCTTGGGAAATCTTTTTGTAGCCTAAGCCTGCTTTCAGTTTCTCAATAACTTTATCCCTGACCTGTCTGGTGTGTTCTTTGGACTTCATGGTGTTGTTGCTCCCAATATTCTCTTAGACAACCTCTGAGGCCGTCACAGAGCAGCTGTATTTGTACTGGCATTAGATTACACACAGGTGCACTCTATTTAGTCATTAGCACTCATCAGGCAATGTCTATGGGCAACTGACTGCACTCAGAGCAAAGGGGCTGAATAATTACGCACACCCCACTTTTCAGTTATTTATTTGTAATCATGTATGATTTTCGTTCCACTTCTCACGTGTACACCACTTTGTATTGGTCTTTCATGTGGAATTCCAAAAAAATAGATTCATGTTTGTGGCTGTAATGTGACAAAATGTGGGAAAGTTCAAGGGGGCCAAATACTTTTGCAAGCCACTGCATCCCCAGTCTCCCTCGGAATGCTGTTGAAGCTCTGCCGGATTAATATAATCTTGCTTCCCTGTTTAGCTGTGCCTCTCTTCCTGTTTTATTTTGGTTATTATTTCTACACTCATCACATCCTGTCTGCCAGGCAGCTATACTGTAACACTTACAGTTGTTATAGCACTTAATCCAAAGCAACGGTCGGATGCTATTCCCTTCTTCATTCCCGTTTTTTGTTATTTGAAAGAGTTGCTTAAAGTAGATTTTTGACTTTTAATTGTGTCTAAATACTAAAAAAGCTTTCACCAATATGTCCATTAAAAATCTTGATTTGATAAAAAAGGTGCCTAAAGTAGTTCTATGTTGCCCTCAAAAATATTCCCTTAGTAATTATACTGCGTCACATTGCTTTCACACAATACAATATGACTGGATTGTATTGCCTATAGTCAAGACTGTTTCCAGTCAGTAACTTAATACCCATTGTCACACTGGAGATCAGTCACCAGATCAGCTAACAGCCCAGATCTATGCTGTGCTAACCTAAAATGGTCCAAGAAGGAATGCTCTGTTCCTCGAAAGAAAATGAATTTCATTTTACTTTGTTATCGCAGCAGAGCGATATTTAAAGCTCTCTGTCGGTTCTTTATTTTACACAGTGAAAGACTTTTGTGTAAAGCTGCTGAAAGCGTTTGAACACAATTGTCACGCTTTGTTCATTTGTTTGCGAAAAGTGTTTTTTCTGCAGAGATTACATTTCCTGTAGCCATCCTGCCAGCCTTCCAGGCCTATCCTGCAGTGCCACCACACTATCCCGCTGCTGCTGCTACCCCCTTTGGATTCAACCCGAACCCGAACCCAAACCCTCCAGTGTGGGGTTTTGAGCCACAACAACCAATAGCAGCTCCCCAACCGTCAGATCCCCCTCCTCCTTATGGAGCATATGCAATGTACCCTCCATTGCCAGATTTTGAGAATAAATCCTAGCAACAGGTCTGACCAGATGCTTTGCCAGGAAATGGTGTGAAAACACCGAGAAGCATACTGTGGTCATTAAGAGCCACTCTAGTGTTCACCAAGCACTTCTGTGGCTATAGACTATACCAAATCCCTATAGTGTGTGTTTAACTGCCTCATATAGGAGTATCCACTCCTGATTGTTTCTTTTTGTTGTTTTTTTTTTTTAATCAAACACTTCATATCTTAAGTGTCTACGTGTTCCAGAAAGCAGAAAATGTATAACAGTACTTATAATGGAACTGTGGTCAGTATTAGAACCCTACATTCTGTTTCTTTTAAATACTTCATTGATGACCGGAGTCTTCCCTGAATGTTTTAAATCTGCTGTGGTAGTGCCAATCTTGAAAAAGCCTGGACTGGATGTTGACTTAGTTGCAAACTATAGACCCATCTCACATTTTTCTTTTTTGTCTAAGGTCTTTGAAAAAGTTGTTTTTAAGCAGCTCACTGATCATCTTTCAACAAACAATCTGTTTGAACCATTTCAGTCTGCTTTTAGACCAAATCACTCCACAGAAACAGCTTTAATCAAAGTGGCAAACAGTCTGTTGGTAAATGCAGACAGTGATCGCACTTCAGTTTTAGTACTACTAGATCTAAGTGCTGCATTTGACACTGTGGATCACTGTATTTTATCGGATAGGCTTGAACATTTTATTGGAGTTACAGGAAATGTTTTATCATGGCTGAGATCTTATCTGTCTGGGAGATCTCAGACTGTTAGTTTTAAAAATGATCTCTCCGAGACCTGTGCAGTGGGGCGTGGGGTCCCTCAGGGCTCTGTACTTGGCCCATTGCTGTTTTCCCTGTATCTGCTGCCTCTTGGTGTTCTTTTACGTTCTTTTAATGTAACTTTTCATTGTTACGCTGACAACCTGCACCTTTATGTTCCTTTAACCATTGGAAATTGTGCTGACATGTCTAAATTAGAATCGTGTCTATCTGCAATTAGGGGCTGGTAATCGGATAACTTCCTGCTTCTTAATACTGATAAGATAGAGTTGATGGTCACTGGACCACAAAAATTTCAATACATGTCCCAAAATTTAATCTTGAAAATTGAAGGTAAAAAACTTGGGCGTGTGGTTTGACACAGTGCTCTCCTTTGAGTCTCATGTAAGAGAGACAACAAAGACCACCTTTTATTATTTAAGGAACATAGCCAAAATCAGACAAGTTTTATCAAGCAAGACTGCAGAGGTTCTTCTCCATGCATTTGTGTCTTCACGTATTGATCATTGTAACGATCTCTTTTCTGGGCTACCAAAGAAAAGTTTTAGAGGTTTACAGATGGTGCAAAATGCAGCGCCTCGCATTTTAACTAAAACTGGAAAATTTGAGTGCATTACGCTGTACTGAAATCCCTTCATCGGCTATCTTGTCAGGTTTGAGCAGATTTTAAGGTCCTGCTGCTCACCTACAAAGCTTTAAATGGATTGCCACCTTCATACCTCTCTGATCTTTTGCACCTTTATGTTCCATCCCGTGCTCTCCGATCCCAGGATCCCTTTCTGAAAAGTAAAGAGTAAAATATTTTCCATTCACTGGTTAACAGCATTACAATATCAAGCCTGCAGGTGACATATAATGCACTTTTTTGTTTTGTTTTTTTGGTATCTTTGAAATAAAGCTCTGTATGATAATAAACTTTTTTAACGAAATAAACGTCTTTGGGGTGGTCTTTGGATTTTAGTAATTTTTCATGATATACCACAAAACATGAAGCTGACATAACTAGACATCTTTTACTTTGAGTTAATTGCTTTCAGTTCATGGGGCCATCAAAATATTGACCGCAACATTTTTTTCCTGGTATGTTTTAGGTTTTGCCAGTGTTTCCAGATTAATTTTAAGCCTTGGTAATCCCCCCCCAAAAGGCCCTTTTGTCATCTCTCTGAAAAAGGGGGTCTATTGTTAAGGTTACTTCTCATCACCTCTGCTTAGGATTTCAAAGAGTTTTAACATCATGGCATGTAATCTGCATCAAGTGGAAGATTTACTGTAGGTGTGGTGAAATATATCATGTGATGCAGCCAGCATGTGGCAGTCACACCTACAATAAAAAATAACTAAAGAGAAACAAGGTGGTATTTTTCGCTGCCCCAATATGTGGTTGTGAAGAGACCATGCTGGTTATCCAGAGAGTGTGTCTCAAATCATTCATAATGTAATCTCATGTTAAACCCCGTTAAGTTTCCATAGCTGAAAATCTTTTAGTGGCACTGCTTTGGGAGGGTGTATGATACAAGAAAAACTGGTTTCACATTATTTGTATACTTGAAAGCAGCTATAACAAGCCAGAGAGTGGCTGCGCTGGGCACAACTGGCCTGAGTTTTCTCTTGGTTTTTGCAACACAATTTTTTTATCCCACTTTTTGCCATCTGAAAATGACCATTAAAAAATTCTCAATCGAATACGATGCCATCAACAGCAAAAACACCTTCACGAATGGAGATATGATTAATGGAAGAATTATTGTGGAGGTGTCTGGTGAAACCAAAATCCAATCGCTGATTTTTAGAGGACAAGGGAGAGCGAAGGTATGCTGGAGTGAGCATTACGGACAAGATCAAACCCACGTTTACTGGGCTACTGAGAAATATTATGACATCAAACAAGATATCTTGAGAGAATCAAGACGCGATGGTGATGTATTGAATTAACACAGTTGCTGACATGTGATACACTGTTCCTTGTTTAACAGACTGTTCAAAACAACACCTACTTCTTTTCCAGGCACTGAAGTCATTGGAAAAGGAAGACACGTATTTCCTTTTTTGTTCAGGATTCCTGATGGGTACCTCTTCTTGTCTTAATCAGAGGTTTAGATTTCCATTCTGCTTCTTAGTGGGTCATTTGAATGATTTTGTATTGTATTTTACAGAATGCTGCCATCAACCTATAAAAGAGCCCGTGGAAAAATTGTTCATAAGGTGAAAGCAGAGCTGACACAATCAATTACAAGAAAAACCAAGGCTCACTTCACTTTTGTGTCCAAGGCAGACATGGGTATTCCTGGACTTCTGGTAAGAAATCATTAATCCTAAAAAAAAAAGCAACGATTAAATTTCATAACTGATAGTGTTCAGGCAGACGAGATCATTACCTTAAAGCACATTTATAATGTGGGTGTCTGCTTTTTAGGAACCTCAGTATACTTGTAAGGATAAATCTGTTTTGGGCTCTGGAAAGGTTTCAGTAGATGTTTATACCACTCAGATGGGATACATGCAAGGTAATTATCTTTACTTGGCTTACTGCCTTTCAGTATTCAGTTTCTGCCCTCTCCCTTATTTTTATTTTTTGGAAAGTGACTATAAGTTTGGTTGAGTCAAGCACTTTCACTCTTCAGATAAAGCAGTATTTTTAAATGATACTTCCCATCATTTAAAAATACTGCTTTATTTCATCCCAGCTCTCAGCTACTTAAAGTGCTTGTAAACAGGAAACCAGTGTGCATGATTCAGTGAGGGGTGTTTCTGTGGAATTGATCCTTTGATTAGTGAAAGGATGTTATAGCTCCTGTAGAGAGATATTATGTAGATGTAAGGAAATGTCTTTCTGTGCTTGGCAGGGATTTATACAGGATAACTTTCTGTACTTTACAGGCGAAGCTCTCGTGGTCACAGTTGAAATCAACAACAACTCGAGTCGCACAGTGAAGCCCAAATTCATACTGTATCAGAAACACAGTTTCTTTGCCCAGGGCCACAGGACAGTTTACACACACGACATCCTTAAGGATAAGGCTGAGGCTGTTGAAGCATCTTCTGGCAGAAAAACTGTGACCAAGGTGATCACCATCCCTGGAGACCTACCCCCCTCCATCTTGAACAGCCACATCATCAACCTGGAGTAAATGCTGAAGGTAAACAACTTGTAGAGCTGTCCTTTTGTTTGTGTACTTGAGTACTGCTTAAGTAATATAACTAATGGTAGGAAGCTTGGATGGCTTGTCTTTGTTTTATTTTGGTTGTTTTATTTGGGCTGCTAGTTGGTTAGTGGCACCTCTTTTCTGTCACAGGTGACTGTAACAAATCATTTTTTTGGAAAACTGCTTTTCTTCTTTTTAATGTTCACAAAAGGAAATACAACAAAGGATCTAAGTACTCAAAGGAACTAAAGTACTTCCATATAAAGGAAGAAAAGCACTCATTAAGAGGCAAGTGCAAACACTAATAGGGAAAAAAACAAAGAGTGAGAAACTTGGATTAAAGCACGGGAGCCCTCTAGTGACAAAACAGGGCAACAACAAAGGCCTGCTGATATAAATACTTCCTAATCATGCGAATCAACATCTACATTCATTGAAACAAACAAACAAAGCTAAACAATACTGTTTGTGTGTTATTTTGTTTCCACAGGTCCAAATGAAAATCAAATGTTCCATTGATCCAAAGCTCAAACTTCCTATAGTTATCATGCCTGCGGTTGTGAAACAACCACATCCTTCTGCTGGCATTGGATTTGACACTTTTAGGAACCCAGAAAATCCAGCCTGGGGAACTACACCCCAGCAAACACCACCCCAGTGTGGAGATCTTCCACCTCCCTACGGAGCACATGCGACGTACCCCACTACCACTCTCGATGATGATGGCATTGAGATGTTAACTTTTTGAACTGTGTGGATCAAAGTGTACCTTCTAACAGACCCATAATGATATATTGTATTTTCAGTGAGGAGCTTGTTTCAACAACAGGAAAGACCCCATTATTTGAGAGAGTCCTTGGGACCCTCATGGTTCAAAAAGTATTTTGACCAGAGTTACAGTCTTGGAAAATTATGTATGATTAGAAGTGAAACCATTTACCTGTCTGTGGAGAATTCTTCCACATTTCAACTGATCTAATGTAATCTACTGTCTCTGTGTTTAGTCTGTGTAGATTATCTCCCCACTAAAATGCAGTTAGTATTAAAATAAAACCCACAAAACACTTAAAGATTTAAAACTCTTTTACCTGGTCATTTGATGCCAGTTTGGCTCTTTCTCTGTATATCACTCACTCGCT